AAAGGGGGGAAACCCCCCCGCCCCTCCCCCTTTCCCAAATTCCTCCCCCCCCCCCCCCCCAACCAAAAACCCCCAAACCCCAAAAAACAACCCCTTTAACCAAAGGGATCCCCGATTTGGAACCCCAACCCCCCCCCCCCCCCCTGTAACCCATCCCCCTAAATTTTTCCCCCACCCAAATTCCCCCCCCCCCCCCAAATTTTCCCCCCCCCCCTTTGCCCCTTTCCCCCCCCCCCCAAACCACCCCCCCCCATTTTCCCCCCAAAAACCCCCCCACCCTTTTCCCGCCCCCCCAAAATTCCCCCCCATCTTTAAATTTTTTAAAAAAACCCAAAATTTTCTTGGGGTTTCCCCCTTTGGAAAAAAAAAAAAATAATATGGCCCCCCCCCCAAAAAAACCTTAATTAATCCCCCCCCCTTTTTTAATACCCCTATCCCCTTTCCCTTTTAAAAACCCCTTTATCTTGGGGCCCCCCCCTCCCTTTTCCCTTTTCCGTCTTAAAAAAAGTTTGAAATGGGGTAACCTTTTTAGGAGTTTTTCCTAATCCTTTTCCCCTTTTTTTTAAAAAAAAGATTTCCCCCAAAATCCCCCATGTTTTTTTAAAATTTAAAAACCCCTTTCCCAGCCCCCTTGATTTTTTTCTAACAATTTTAATTTTTTTCCAAATTTCTTTTAAAAATTGGGGACCAGAATTGGCCCTTTCCCATTTAAAACCCAGGTTTTTTTAAGGCCGTAATTTAATTGAGTTTTTTTTAAAAGCCTTTCAGTTTTTGATCCCCCTGGAAAAAATTTTCTGTTTGGGCCTTTTTCCAAAATTCCCTTGATTTTAAAATTTCCCGTAATCATTTTGCCCCTTTATTTAAATAAAAAGCCTTTTTGCCTTGGGTTTGTCTTGGGGTTTTTGGTTTCCCGCTTTCCATTTCCCCCCCAAATCCTTTTTGCAAACTGTAGGCTAAGTTCTACACATTTAAATTTTTAAGTCTAGGGTTATTTGGGCACTCCCGGCCCTTAGAACCCTTTAATTTATCCCCCATTGAACTGCATCTGCCACTTTTTTGGCCAAAAAATAGAGTTTGTTTAAATTTTCCCCCTGAAGTTCCCTAACATCTATGTTTGAATTTAAATTTTCCTACCCACTTTGTGTCATCGGCGAATTTTGCTTTATAAAAAATAAAATTTCCTTTATCAAGATCATTGATTATATTATAAACCAAAAACGGGGGCCCCAAACTGATCCCTGTGGAAAGCCACTTGTTACGATCCCCCCTCGGATTTTAACCCCCTTTTTGGACACTCTCTGCTTTCCCGTCTGTGAGGGCCCGACCTTTGAAAACCACGAGAGCAAATTTTCCCCCGTGCCAAAAGCTTTCCACCCTTTCCTTTTAACAGTCTTTGGTGCGGAACTCTTCAAAAGCCTTACTAAAATCAAAAGTAAAAATATCAAATTCTTTATCGTGGTCAACACCTCAAAAGCTTTACTGAAGAAATTTAAATTTAAATTTTATTTTAGACAAGAACCGGCCTCTTGTGAATCCATGCTGAGTATCATTATTCAAGCTATGATTATCGAGATGGCTTCTTATATTCTCAGCTATAATTGACTCTAGTAATTTGCCTACAATTGAGGTCAGGCTTATTGGGCGGTAATTTGACGGTAACGACTTGTCCCCTGTTTTAAAAATGGGAAAATTACCTTAGCCACTTCCACATATCAGACACTACACCTGTTTGAAGAGATAAATTAAAAATATTAGTTAATGGTTCACAGAGTTCAATTTTGCATTCCTTAAGAATCCTTGAAAAAACCTCATCAGGACCGGGCGACTTATTTTGCTTCGGTCTGTCTATCTGCTTCACAACCATTTCACTAGTGACTGTGATGCTACATAATTTTGTCTTTTTCTACCCCACTATAAAAATTAATTCTGGAATATTGTTAGTGTCTTCCTGTGTAAAAACCGAGAGAAAATAATTATTTAAAATCGAGCACATTTCATTCTCTTTGTCAGTAAGATGCCCATATTTTATTTTTAAGGGGACCTATCTTATCTCTAACTTTTGTTCATAGACCTGGAAAAAACTTTTTGGGTTAGTTTTAGAATCCCTAGCAACTCTAATTTCATAGCCCTTTTAGCTTTTCTTATCCCCTTTTAATGTCCCTCTTAATGTCAATATACTGATTCATAAGATGACCCTCACCTCTTTAGATACGCCTATAAATTCCTTTCTTATGCCCTAGTAGATATTTCAGCCTATTATTCATCCTTTTTGGGGTTTCATTTCTATTTGATCTAATTTCTTTATACGGGAAAAACGTTCTTTGAGCACATGTATAGTGTTCAGAAAACTGTCATATTGATACCTCTCTTCGTTACCCCAGTCAACAGATGATAAGTGTTCTCTAAGCCCATCGTAAACTGCTAAGCAAAAATCTGGGACTGTTACTGAGTTATCCCTACTATCGAATTTTCCTTTCCCAATGCTAAATGAAATTTTGATTTGGGGTCGCAGAAACCCATTCCTCTGATTTCTAAATTATTTACAAAGGTTTCTTTTGTTTCCAAAACTAAGCCCAATCAGGTTATTTCCCCTTGAAAGGTTCGTCACAAACTGCTTAAAAAAAACCAACCCTGAACTACTTCTAAGAAGTCGTATGTTTTCTAAATTTCCCCAGTAAAAAAATTCCAATCAATAAATAAAATTTAAAGTCTCCAAAGAATTACAACATTATCGTTTTTTTTGGTGGCCCTAAAAAATTTTTCCTCCCATAGTATTCCTCCCCTTGGGCCCCCAATCAATTTTTGGGGGACGGTATATCACACCTAAAATAAATTTTTAAATGCCCCCCTAAAAAATTCTACCCAAAAACAGACCCTGTATGTGTTTAATTTCAACTTAATATGCAACAGTTCAGCGATCTCGGACATACAATGCCCCCCCAAACCCCCCTTTCCCCGATACTTTCAATCTACTTGGAACAATTTAAAAACCCTAAAATGTGACATTCCGCGGGCAGCCCCCCAATTTTTTCCACATTGAACCAAGTCTCATTTAAAGGGGAAAATACATCAATGTTCCCTTTGCACTACCCAACTAGTCTAAAACCCTCCATCTTTTTCCTGGGCACTACGACTATTTGTGTAATATATTTTTAAAGGACCCTCCTCTCTCTTTACCCTTCCTGCCCCCTTTCTGTTTTTTCCCAAACTACCCCTTTTACTGTCCTTGTCAATTAGGCCACTGGTTTCTAATACCACCTCATTTCCCTATTACTAGTTCTCCAAGTGCTCATAAAAACTACCCCCGGGGACTTCACTTTTTTTCCCACAAAAACCCCCATACCACTAACTTTTCCCCTAGTTTAAAGACCTAACAGCTCCCCTCCACTGGGGGGGGCCCAGTGCTCCCCACCCCAGACCTGGAAAAGGGTGACCCCACCCCCGGGCATACAGTAAATTTCTGCCAAAAAAGAGGTCCCAGTTGTCAATGAATTTCCGCCCTTTTTCCCTTTCAGTATTTAAACCAGCCAGCAATTGCCAAACCCAAATTTCTCGGGGCAACCATTCATTTCCCAATCCCTCACTGGGAAAATACCACATATGCAGGGGTTTCCCCCCCTTCCCCCCTAATTACCTTATTTCTGACCTATACCTTCTTTTAACGGTCCTCACTCCTACGTCTGCCAAACCTTTGTTCCCCAGCACTGGCCCCGATAATAGGGTTTTCTCCCATTACCCCCATTAGGTTTTCCAACGGGTAACAATATCCTTTTATCCCACCCAAGGAAAACCCCCCCTCTGCTCCCTTAACCCCCTATCCTTCAAAAGCAGAATGCCCTATCCATGTACCTAATCTGGCTATCCCCAACAACAACAATGATTTTACCTTCCTTGGCGACGTCCGTCGTGATGTTCCCAGTAGTCGACTCACATTCGTTAGGTAGCACTACACCATCACTTGTGGAATTCGTCAAGACGTTCTCGATGATTTTCGTTGGGGTTTCTAGGGATGTCTCACTCACGTCAGCTAATGCTTCCTTGGTGCTCGTTGTGACATTCCCAGTAGAACACTCACATTCTTCAAGTAGCACCGAAAATGGGTTGGAAGTTTCCACAGTAGTCTTCTGGGTCCTCGTTGTTTCTGCCTCTCCAACAGTCTTCTTGATCCTCAGCTTGGTTCCATGTTGCCCGGCCACTGACCAAGCACCCCTCTTAACCTGGGGACTCACAGCAGGAAGATTACCTCGAATCCTCTTGTTCTCCTCCGTTAATCGCCGTATCTCCTGCTTAGCAACCCTAAGCTCTTGTTTCAGCTGCTGGTAAAGTTGCTCAAGAGAGGGCGTCCTGGTTCAGATTCAGAGAGCACACAAACAGGTCTTCACAGCTAAGATATTTTTAAAACTACACAACGTCTTAGCTTCTATGATGGTACTCGAGAGTTTGTTCAAATCATTCACAACTCAGTTACTAAACCAGTGCTTTCCTATATTCTTCCTGAATCTGAATTTTTCCAGCTTAAAACCATTGCTGCGAGTCCTGTCTAGGCTAAATATTTTTAGCACTCTATTTACATCCCCTTTATTCACTCCTGTTTTCACTCTACTCTCCTCATTTCTCCTTTTTACAAGCCCAGCAACTTCAGGTCTTCTTCACCGCAACTCTTGTGCATATTTCTGAAGACGACGCGTCTTACTGATATTTCCGATTAGGATATATGTAAGTTCACCGATCAGTTTCTGGGACGTGTTTCATAACCTTCAATAATAATCAGCGCATATGTTTAACTTGCCTTTTCAAAAAGAAAAGAAAATGGCCAGAAACTAGCGGAAAGTACACTCACTTTCTCGGTAAAAACGTTGAATCATCGGAAGACATATTAATATGTGTTTTGGTATCTGTTCTCCATAACTAATTCTTTAATTGAGCGGCATCGAATATTGAAGATTTGTAATGTAGAACAATGCGTGTGTAATCCCTCACATTCATTTTCTCAATGGCAGGCATCGAACAAGGTTGGCACGTCTAAGAAGACACAGAGTGTGCACGTGCAGTACGGCCCCATGTTTCGAACCCTGCCACTGGATGTGATGGCTGAGACAGGGAAGGAGGTCGTACTCAAGTGTGATGTCGACTCCAACCCGGCCGCCAGCATTGTCTGGCTTCAGGAGGGTTCCGACAAGGTAGTGTACTGGCTCCTTCACATCACATTATTGTTATTATTATTATATTATTATTATTATTTTATTATTTATTATTTTATTATTATTATATTATTATTATTATTATTCGTATTATTAATATTATTATCATTTACCTTCCCGTTATCATAACTTACATTAGCATTGGTCGAATACCAATAACCATATGTCAGAGAAATCCTGCTGCTGAACAAGGCTCTCCTTGTCCTTTCCTGATTGTGTTATTTTCGCATCATCTGTGAACACTGATACACCTATTTGATTCATATTTCAATTTATTTACATTATACATGTCTCAGGATCCAGGTGCTAATCCTTGTAGAACCTCAACTGCCACGTCTGTCATTTCTATTTCTTTCTCTTGGATAATTAATTCCCCATTGCTCCTGCCAGGTCTTGAATTCCCCCCCCCCCCCCCCGTTTTAAAATTTTCACACTGTCCAAAAATATGCACTAAAAGCTTTTCTCTCTCTTTTGCTTCACTTCCCTTACCCTGTCATGGAACTCACGCAAATCTGCGAAGCAATATTTTCCATCTTATAAAAAGTGCAGATTGTTGTGTATAATCTGTCTCCTTGTCAAGTACGATAAGTAAGTCTAAAAAGACTTACTTATCATGCATGTTACCAACACTGTCTCTCATCTTTTTATAATGTTACGGTTAAATCTGCTCACTTCCATATCTCTGGCGGTTGCCCTCTAATGAAATTTTTAGGATTTTAAATGCTGTTGGACAGAGTGATCTTGTATGCCCTTCCAGGACCTGTGGAAAGATATTTTTTGGTCCCATTTCCTTCATGGAATCTTGCTTAGTCATTAATTTCTTCACCGTCTTATTACTGATGTGTGTATTGTGCCCAGTAGATGTCTAAATTGTCTTTCTCTTTAACTCTCTGGTAATGCAGGTATTTCCTCTGAGAACTCCTTATCTAAGTATTTGTTCGGTTATGCTTCTTTCTTCTTCAGTCTTATTACCTGGTCCTTTACTGTTTTCCTCTTTCTGACGTGACTGTATAGCAACTTGATTTTCGATTCTATATAATTTTGAAATTGTCGTAGCCACTCTTGTTACCTCTCCATGTTTGTTTCTATCTCTTTTGCTTTCTTCCCTGTTTTCCTGTGTTCTTTGTTTCTATTTTTTTCTATTCTCTTGCAGTTTTAACTTTTGCATCTCTGCAGGCCGAACCATGGAGTAAGTCTGTTCTTTTCCCAGCTTTTTCTGCCCCTGGGAATGAATGTCCTTTCTTCCTCATTACACTTTTCAAGTACTTCATCATTTTTATTGTTATTTTTTTATTTCCAGGTTCCTTAACCGCTACATTTCATTCAGGAAATACGTGCTATCTGCGTTGTCTCCTCTTGTGACAAATGGTGTCTCCCAGCATCCCAATGTTATGTTTCTCCAAGCATCCCCAAGTAATGTTTCTCCTAGCATCCCCATGTTATGTTTCTCCCAGCATCTCCATGTTATGTTTCTCCCAGCATCCCCATGTTATGTTTCTCCCAGCATCTCCATGTTATGTTTCTCCTAGCATCCCCATGTTATGTTTCTCCCAGCATCTCCATGTTATGTTTCTCCCAGCATCCCAATGTTATGTTTCTCCAAGCATCCCCAAGTAATGTTTCTCCTAGCATCCCCATGTTATGTTTCTCCCAGCATCTCCATGTTATGTTTCTCCCAGCATCCCCATGTTATGTTTCTCCCAGCATTCCCATGTTATGTTTCTCCTAGCATCCCCATGTTATGTTTCTCCCAGCATCCCCATGTTATGTTTCTCCCAGCATCCCCATGTTATGTTTCTCCCAGCATCCCAAAGTTATGTTTCTCCCAGCATCCCCATGTTATGTTTTCTCCAGCATTCCCATGTTATGTTTCTCCCAGCATCCCCATGTTATGTTTCTCCCAGCATCCCCATGTTATGTTTCTCCCAGCATTCCCATGTTATGTTTCTCCCAGCATCTCCATGTTATGTTTCTCCCAGCATCCCATGTTATGTTTCTCCCAGCATCTCCATGTTATGTTCTCCCAGCATTCCCATGTTATGTTTCTCCCAGCATTCCATGTTTATGTTTCTCCAGCATCCCATGTTATGTTTCTCCCAGCATCCCTATGTTATGTTTCTCCAGCATCCCCATGTTATGTTTCTCCCAGCATCCCTATGTTATGATTTCTCCCAGCATCCCCATGTTATGTTTCTCCCAGCATCCCATGTTATGTTTCTCCCAGCATCCCATGTTATGTTTCTCCCAGCATCCCATGTTATGTTTCTCCCAGCATCCCCATGTTATGTTTCTCCCAGCATCTCCATGTTATGTTTCTCCCAGCATCCCTATGTTATGTTTTCTCCCAGCATCCCATGTTATGTTTCTCCCAGCGTCTCCATGTTATGTTTCTCCCAGCATCCCTATGTTATGTTTCTCCCAGCATCCCCATGTTATGTTTCTCCCAGCATCCCTATGTTATGTTTCTCCCAGCATCCCCGTGTTATGTTTCTCCCAGCATCCCTATGTTATGTTTCTCCCAGCATCTCCATGTTATGTTTCTCCCAGCATCCCTATGTTATGTTTCTCCCAGCATCCCCGTGTTATGTTTCTCCCAGCACCCCTATGTTATGTTTCTCCCAGCATCCCCATGTTACGTTTCTCCAAGCATCTCCATGTTATGTTTCTCCCAGCATCCCTATGTTATGTTTCTCCCAGCATCCCCGTGTTGTTTCTCCCAGCATTCCCATGTTATGTTTCTCCCAGCATCTCCATGTTATGTTTCTCCCAGCATTCCCATGTTATGTTTCTCCCAGCATCTCCATGTTATGTTTCTCCAGCATCCCATGTTATGTTTCTCCAGCATCCCCATGTTATGTTTCTCCCAGCATTCCCATGTTATGTTTCTCCCAGCATCCCCATGTTATGTTTCTCCCAGCATCCCCATGTTATGTTTCTCCCAGCATCTCCATGTTATGTTTCTCCCAGCATCCCCATGTTATGTTTCTCCCAGCATCTCCATGTTATGTTTCTCCCAGCATCCCCATGTTATGTTTCTCTCAGCATCTCCATGTTATGTTTCTCCCAGCATCCCCTTGTTATGTTTCTCCCAGCATCCCCATGTTATGTTTCTCCCAGCATCCCTATGTTATGTTTCTCCCAGCATCCCCATGTTATGTTTCTCCCAGCATCCCCATGTTATGTTTCTCCCAGCATCCCTATGTTATGTTTCTCCCAGCATTCCCATGTTATGTTTCTTCCCAGCATCCCATGTTATGTTTCTCCCAGCATCCCTATGTTATGTTTCTCCCAGCATTCCCATGTTATGTTTCTCCCAGCATTCCCATGTTATGTTTCTCCCAGCATCCCTATGTTATGTTTCTCCCAGCATTCCCATGTTATGTTTCTCCCAGCATCTCCATGTTATGTTTCTCCCAGCATCCCTATGTTATGTTTCTCCCAGCATTCCCATGTTATGTTTCTCCCAGCATCCCCATGTTATGTTTCTCTCAGCATCCCCATGTTATGTTTCTCCCAGCATTCCCATGTTATGTTTCTCCCAGCATCCCTATGTTATGTTTCTCCCAGCATCTCCATGTTATGCTTCTCCCAGCATTCCCTATGTTATGTTTCTCTCAGCATCCCCATGTTTATGTTTTTCTCCCAGCATTCCCATGTTATGTTTCTCCAGCATCCCTATGTTATGTTTCTCCCAGCATCTCCATGTTATGTTTCTCCCAGCATCCCATGTTATGTTTTCTCCAGCATCCCATGTTATGTTTCTCCCAGCATCCCCATGTTATGTTTCTCCAGCATCTCCATGTTAGTTTTTCTCCCAGCATCCCATGTTATGTTTCTCCCAGCATCTCCATGTTATGTTTCTCCCAGCATCCCATGTTATGTTTCTCCCAGCATTCCCATGTTATGTTTCTCCAGAGCATCCCCATGTTATGTTTCTCCCAGCATCCCCATGTTATGTTTCTCCCAGCATCCCCTGTTATGTTTCTCCCAGCATCCCCATGTTATGTTTCTCCCAGCATCTCCATGTTATGTTTCTCCCAGCATCTCCATGTTATGTTTCTCCCAGCATCCCTATGTTATGTTTCTCCCATCATTCCCATGTTATGTTTCTCCCAGCATCCCCATGTTATGTTTCTCCCAGCATCCCCATGTTATGTTTCTCCCAGCATCCCCATGTTATGTTTCTCCCAGCATCTCCATGTTATGTTTCTCCCAGCATCCCCATGTTATGTTTCTCCCAGCATTCCCATGTTATGTTTCTCCCAGCATTCCCATGTTATGTTTCTCCCAGCATCTCCATGTTATGTTTTCTCCCAGCATCCCCATGTTATGTTTCTCCCAGCATTTCCCATGTTATGTTTCTCCCAGCATTCCCATGTTATGTTTCTCCCAGCATCTCCATGTTATGTTTCTCCCAGCATCCCCATGTTATGTTTCTCCCAGCATCTCCATGTTATGTTTCTCCCAGCATCCCCATGTTATGTTTCTCCCAGCATCCCCATGTTATGTTTCTCCCAGCATTCCCATGTTATGTTTCTCCCAGCATCCCCATGTTATGTTTCTCCCAGCATCCACATGTTATGTTTTCTCCCAGCATCCCATGTTATGTTTCTCTCAGCATCTCCTATGTTATGTTTCTCTCCCCAGCATCCCATGTTATGTTTCTCCCAGCATCCCCATGTTATGTTTCTCCCAGCATCCCCATGTTATGTTTCTACCAGCATCTCCATGTTATGTTTCTCCCAGCATCCCCATGTTATGTTTCTCCCAGCATCCCCATGTAATGTTTCTCCCAGCATCCCCTTGTTATGTTTCTCCCAGCATCCCCATGTTATGTTTCTCCCAGCATCCCCATGTTATGTTTTCTCCAGCATCCCCATGCTATGTTTCTCCCAGCATCCCATGTTATGTTTCTCCCAGCATCCCCATGTTATGTTTCTCCCAGCATCCCCATGTATTTTCTCCCAGCATCCCATGTT